GGCCACCCTTCTCGATTTTCCGGCAAATCAGCAAAGCAATGGCCGATGCCACCACTTGGGCTTTGTAGCCCATCATCCCAGGAGCAAAACCCAACCAACCTTGACCCCGTTGGACCACCGTAGACGACGAATCAACGTCGGGAAGTTTTAGGCACCCGCCGGCTTCGTGGGCAAAATTGACCATCTTCCGTCCACTTTTGGACTTCGTGGCAGGGACAGATCATTCAGGACACCTCGATGCGCGTGCTAGAGAAGTATAGCGTGGACTCCAGGTGAGTGGATCTTTTCCTTTTTATTGTGCATATTATTGAGAGTTCTATCGACACTTTTAAATTGATTAGGTAGATTACCTTCATATAATTATTGTGAATGCTTGAAGTACCTATATGAACTACGAATGGCTTGATCCCTATTTAGGGTACGTAGGCAGTCTAACGAGACATTAGATTCAGCCATAAAATATTTGAGACAAAAGCCTTGCTTGGGAAATTGAGTAATGCGAAGGAAATTGGTAAAGACAAGTTTTAGTTTTGTGAATTAGTTAGTTAAATTAGAGTTAATTGGGTTGTCATGGATAATTATCCTTGAAAATAAGTAGTTTGGGAGTAGGGCGTTACTGATTGTACACTTCACACCATATTGTTTATAATTGAAAATGCTACGACATGGTTGAGTAGTAGATTGCATCATGATATATCCATATGTATATTACTTGCATATAATTATTGGGAATGCTTTCAAGTGCAAAGGTGAACTCAGGACACCCAGGTAAGTTCAGGTGAGTTTATGGTACTAGTTGAATCGATTACGTTATAGCATGACTACAGTTATGAGTTAGGCAACTTCGATACTGTCGTACTGGTTGCCATGAGTTGCACATGTTATATTGAGATGCGTTGAGAGCTCATAAACCTGCACCCCGGTGTTAGTGCTCCCGCCCGTGGCCAGGGCACAGTCCTTCACGTGATGTTCACCTCCCGCACCTTATGCTCACCTTAGATCCAAGGTAGGTGCACAGTCCTGTCGTACAGACCACTTTAGGTGGTTCCGACTCGTAGGTGACCCGCGATTATTCGCCCAATCTTCACGTGATCGTAGCACTCGAGCGCATTTATTTACACCCAGTCCTGTCGTACAGACCACCTTAGGTGGTTCCGACTCGTATGCAGGTATACTTATTGAGCTATGGGCTAGCCAGGATTGACGAGATATAGATAAGTCGTACAGGTCACTATAGGTGACTCCGACTTATATGCTAGCCAGGATTGACGAGATATGGATAAGTCGTACATGTCACTATAGGTGACTCCGACTTATATGCTAGTCATGATTGATGAGATACGGATAAGTTGTACATGTCATTTTAGATGACTCTGACTGATATATCACTTTGTATTGATTTAGTTCATTTGGCCTACTTATTAATGTATGGTGGATTTGATGGCAAACCGTGGTTTTGGTCATTTCCGAGTATGGTTTGGATATATGTATATATGTTGTATTGTCTTATGGAAAACGATACGGGTTTTACATTTAGGGCCATTACTTTTTGAGAGGTAGTAACTTTGGGAAGCTTGGTTTTATTGCCTACTCACACCTTCTGTTTGGTGCCCTCTAGGTTTTAGCTGCTGAGTTTGTATCGACAAGAATCTATGGCGAATCTTAGTATTGATGGATATTTTTGAGGGTATGATTCTTACCCACATTACTGCACTTTACTTATGCTCTGACATCGCGTGTGAAATGGGTTCGCTCCCACTCGTAGCGCACTCTGGTACTTAGACACTTTTAGATTCAAATTTATTCACTTTTTATGCACTATCACATTTTATGGCTTCGTCACCTTCCACGTGTAGGCCAGCACAGCTCGATTCAGGGTCCAAGTGGACTTTCTGGGTCGGGGTGTGTCAGTTTGTATGGTTTTAAAAATTCAAACGATGATGTACCAAGACTCAAAGCTAGCGGATGTGATCTCGAGCATTTTGCATATTTTTTCACATTTTTCGCACTTGTAAATTAATTATTATAATTTTGTATTGTGTTTGGTATTTTTTTTTTAATTACTTGCTATTTTCATTTTAAAGTGTTTTATAATTTTTTTAATCTCACTCTTTGCCTATAGTATATTATAAAAATAAAGAAATAAACTTCAATTTTTTAAATTTATATAGAATAATAATACAATAATACATATTTAATATACAATGTATACATATACACTATGGCTATTTTATTTTATAGTAAGTTTTTAAGTAGTTTAGAAAATTAAAATCACCAAAATAACTTTTTCTTAACATGTCGAATCTGGTTACCCTCGTGTCTCCTTCATGTAAACCTATTCTTATCGTGTGTCCTGATAACGATCCGATCAGTTATCGTATTGACCTGAAACTTGTTATTTTTGTGTTGTTTAAGAGTCATGTTAACGGGTCGTGTACATTTTTGCCTATCTGAAATTGCTTTGCACACTTTTTTGTAGTCTTCATACATCCATGTTTAATCTTATATATTGTTTTCGTTTGATTTTATTCAATTCGAAAATTGAAAATAAAGAGAGGAGTCAAAAAGTCAAAAAGGGTCTGTAAAACTCAAGTCATTGATTCTTACATACACCCATGTCCATCAAATAATCAACAAAATAAGCATGACAGTACAAAGGGAATGCAAAAGCAATTGTCTGGGCCCAAGCCTAATATGGAAGCCCAATTTATATCCGCATGGCAATTTCTAAGGTGCGGACTACTGTATGCGGTCTTTGCATACGGACCAATATAATCCATTAGATTTAATCATAACGATTGTAAACAAATCAATCAAAGAAAGCTTACAGTGAAACCGAGTTTCTCTTCTGTGCATTTACCTGCCCACTTTGTCCACAAATGTCTTTGCCTCTCCTCTCTCTGCTTCCCTCTCTTTCCTTTTTCACTTTATCCCGATCCCTCTCCAACTCCAGAACTTGACATAATACTCCATAAATCTCATTGACAATTTCTAACCATCTTGATTTTCGTTTACGTCTACGTTTTAATTTTTCATCATCAAAAACCCATTTTAGGGTTTCTTTTTTTAAAACATGATCTTACAGTGGATTGAAAAAGATGAACGGTTTAAATCATTGACATCATGTTTCAATTTTTAAGGTTAATGCAAATGTTGCTCGATGTTCCATAATGGCTAGAGAGTTTATAAACATCGAACAATATTTGCACAAACCATAAAAATCGAAACCTAATGTCAAAGATTGAAACCATTCATCTTTTTCAATCCACTACAAGATCATCTTTTTTAAAAGAGGCTCCAAAAAACAATTTCCAGTAATAAAAAATTGAAAGGTGGTAAACGACAATTAGACGGTTAAAATTTGTCATTAAGGTTCACGGATTATAGTATCGAGTTTTGAAGTTGACTCATTCACAAAAGTTGTAGGCCATGTCTGTCACATCCCGACGCGGGCAGGACCACTTCTCTGGCCCGACTCCACTGTAGCACGATATGGTCCGCTTTGGGCCCCAAGCACACCCTCACGGTTTTGTTTCTGGGAACTCACACGAGAACTTCCTAGTGGGTCACCCATCATGGGAGTGCTCTCGCGCGCTACTTGCTTAACTTTGAAGTTCCAACAGAACCCGAAGCCAGTGAACTCCCAAAAGGCCTCGTGTTAGGTAGAGATGGGAATATACATATAAAGATCACACCCCTGGGTGATGTGGGATGTCATAATCCATCCCCCTTAGGGGTCCGATGTCCTTATCGGCACACCACGACCAGGGTTACGCTCTGATACCAAATTGTCACATCCCGGCCCAAGCGGGACCACTTCCGGGGCCCGACTCCACCGTAGCACGAAATTGTCCGCTTTAGACCCCCAGCACACCCTCACGGTTTTGTTTCTGGGAACTTACACAAGAACTTCCCAGTGGGTCACCCATCATGGAAGTGCTCTTGCGTGCTACTCGCTTAACTTCGAAGTTCCAATAGAACCCGAAGCCAATGAGCTCCCAAAAGACCTCGTGCTAGGTAGAGACGGAAATATACATATAAGGATCGCACCTCTGGGTGACGTGGGATGTCACAATGTCATCAAGTGTTTCTATATTATTTTTTTTCTTTCTATATTTCACACTTGTAAATTAATTATGAATAATTTTTTTAAGTCACTGAAAAATACTATTCAAGACGGTTTGAAGGGTTTCAAAAGTACAAATGACGATCTAACCATCGCTAAAGGGTAGAATGTGTGGTCCTAAAGGTTTGCATATTTTTTCCATTTTTACATTAATTATTATGAATTTTTATTAAATAATTACTCCCCTTAAATACTGCTCAAAAGGGTTTGGAGGGTTGTAAAATCCAAACAACGATGAAACAATCGTCGAAGCATAGAGGATGCAATCACGTGTGTTTGCATATTTATTCACATTTTTCACACTTGTAAATGAATTATAATGAAATTTTTATCATGCTTTGGTAGTATGTAGGATAATCAAATTATATTAAAAAAAGCTCATAATAATTAATTTATAAATGTGAAAAATGTGAAAAAAAAAAATATGCAAATGCTCAATGAAACTTATACAATATTATGTAACATAACACCCAGTACCTAACGATGTTACAATTTATCATCCAAAATTGGTATTTTATTATGATGACTTGTGAGACTTTGTGACATGTTATGATCATCCAGATTAAACTTATCTATGAAGTCAGTCATTTAGTACAATTTACAAATGCTAACTTGGTCTATTGTTTAAATTAGCACGTACATCTTTACTTTTCACAAACTTTCATAACAAATAATATTTAGCCTTAAATTTCATAACGTGTATCAATATAACATAATCCACTACAAAACCAAGCTGTATAGCCTCAATTCATCACTGCTAATACAACTAACACATTCCAAATCTCACAACATTGGGCAAACTGATTAAGAGTTTCCATACCAAAATACAGCGATTTATACGAAATGGACAAGATGGAAAATGAAACAAAAAATGTAAAGAAATTGAAAGACATATAAAATAAGATTGTGACCAAAGTCTCATCACAGCAAACATACAGGATGCAATATTCGTCCACTTACCCTTCCTGTGAACAATATTGACACAATACCAGACAGGCCAAGACCACCTGCAAGCATGTAACTAGACAGAAGAAAGTTCTACATCAATTTGCACATACACCACAATTAACTACCAATTTATGCTCATACACCAAAATTGACTACAAAAATGACTGAATTCGACTTCCTCAGGCCAACTCCCTTCCTCTTCCCCTAATGCACCGCCAGCTCCCTTCCACTTCCTCAGGCTTTCCCAGAAATTTTCCCAAGTTTTACCCGTGAACTTTACCGGTATTGAGAAACACTCAAACACCCGGTTCCACCGATACACCCAGCTCATCTCCTCCGTCTGCTTTAGGTCCACGCCTTAGAAACGCCCATATCCACATAGGTACCGCCTAGGTGCTAGGCCACAATCCACTACTTGACTAGCGCCTATTGTCTTTTAGAACATTTTGTGCACCAGATCAAGCGCTAAATTCTTCATGTAACAGGTTAATCATCACTTCTTATCTATAACTCACATCACGCATGTTACGTCATGTGAGAGATAATCAAGTGCAAATTATTACATGTATTCGATTATTTATCACTTCATCTTTGATTTATGTCTTACACCTCGTGAATCACGCTTGAGATAAATAAGATGAGATATATATAAAACTGGATGAAATATTAGTCAATAGTAAGACCTAGGTAGATCCCCAGAGTATTTTATAACCCCCATTTTACCTTCTAGAGTCTCATGATTAGCAACATAAGATGGCTACAAAACAAAATGAAAATATTATGTTGTTTAACTGCGCCTGTAAAACATATTACTTGAGTAAACGCATCATAACGTATGGAGATGGAAACTGAACTTTGTCAAGAGAGAGCGACTGCACAAGTTGAAGTAGCAGCCTCACTCATTGATAATTTGATATCATGCAGAGTCAATATATAAAACCTGCAGTTGGCAGTCGGAGAATCACTGCAGACAGTCCTTTCTGGCACTCCGCGAACGAAAGATGATCGTGCACTTGTTCTGTAAAAACATAAAGTGAGAAATGTTGCTGGCACTCCACAAACGAATGATGATCGTGCACTTGTTCTGTTCAAACATAAACAGAGAAATGTTAATCACTGTAAAAATTGATGATCTTTATAAACCAGAGCAATCAAGGAACATTAATCCGAAAGTCGAGGCAAGATTATTATCAGAGCTAAGAATCAATTTTCCACTTAAGACAGACTTGTTCAAACATTCATTCAAATTGGAAATAACAGAAGCAGATTAGCACAACTAGACGCTTGTACTCAGATGTATAAAGCAAATCATATACAAGTTTTTTGATCCAGTAGAATTGTATCGCTTCCAAGATGTCCGTCTGAAAAATCATTAATACTAAAACCAAAATCCAACATAAATGTAAATAACGCTGTAGCACAAAATTCCGGTTAAACATCAAAACACAATCTTAGAATCTCAACTTCAATGCAGCCAACTTCTGCAAACCAGCAACAACCATAATGTACTTACATATCAATGCAACAAATTGTGATTCAGCTTTAAGGTTCAGCAAGATCCGATAAGTCAACTAGTTCCACAACAAGACAGAAAGAGATAAGTAAACTAGATTGATAAATGATCGATAAGTAAGCAAATCATACATGTGTATAATCCGTGGAAAGTAAATACTGTAGCATAAATTTTGGCAGGAATATATATCTGCATGAGGTGGTGAAATATATCTACACGAGGTGGCCGCACACAAGAGCTGTAAAATTTCTTATCTATACATAATCAAGCACGCCTTCTGCTCAGGCGCCATGAGTTGGGCTCATGATATCTGTCATACGGTGGTTCAGTACGTTCTTGATGTTTGCCGTTGCTCATCTTAGTAGGATTTGCCGCCCTAAAGAATCTTGGAACCTGCTCCATCAGCCACTTGGGTTCTATGGCACTGACCTCACGCATGTACTCCTTCGTGGTCATCACGAGCTCATTGTAGATGACCCAAGCTGGTTGTCTCTGGAAAAGAACGCTGCTCGGGTGGATATAAACTTGCTGATTATCGACTAAGGTTCTATAACCCTCCTTTGGATCCTTTCTTGCTACTCTGAAGAAGCATCCAGCAATTATTGCCTTTCTGACCATTACGACATTTCTTCCTGCACTTACAACCTCTAATTCATACTTGTCCATGACAGTAAGAAGCTGTTTCCTGATATCCCTTGCCCTGCTCAATGACCGAAACTGTAAAAAGTTCTCAGAACACCAGGGTTTAGAAAAATCCTTGGCTTTCCAAGCCTCGTAAACAGTGAGTAAAGTCAGATGGTCTCCCTCAGGCTGGAAAAACTTGGCCTTCTTTTGATCTGCTTGCCTTTGTTTTTCTCTAGGCCTGTAGAAGATATTTCCCGCCTGAAGCATGGCAATGATTGTCACAATCTCATCACTGCATCCAAGGTTCGCACTGGCAAGCAGCATTTTCGACAAAGGTGGATCCAGAGGCAACAATGCCATTCTACTACCCAATTTGGTCAGTAACCCCTCCTCATCCAAAGCTCCTAGACTTTGCAGCTGTTTCATGGCAGACTCAAGCGCTTGGGATGACGGTGGATCCATAAAATCAAAAGATTTGAGATCGTGTATCCCCATTGCTTTCATCATAAGTGTAGTATGCACAAGATTTGTTCTTAGGATTTCTGGAACTGTGGTAGGAGACATCTCATTGTGAAAAGCGCTCTCAGTGTAAAGGCGGTAACATTCCCCTGCTCCTGTCCTCCCAGCGCGCCCAGCTCGTTGTTTGGCTGATGCTTGAGAAATTGGAGTTACAACCAGTAAATCAATCCCAAGCTTTGGGTTAAATACATTTTGCTTTGCAAATCCCGGATCAATTACGTAGTATATCCCATCAATGGTCAAAGAGGCTTCAGCAATATTGGTAGCAACAACCACTTTTCTCTTCCCTGAAGGAGCAGGCTTGAATATCTTCGATTGCTCTGCACTTGGTTGGGCACCATAAGCTGGTAGAATAATCAATTCTGGAGCTTCTCTACCGAGTACTTTCATCCTTTCATACAAAGACTGACAAGCAAATTGAATCTCCTCCTCACCCGTCAGGAACACAAGTATGTCACCTTCGGGTTTAGTCAAGTGAAGTTGCAGAACAGTCAATATAGCTGCATCCAAGTAATCACTTTCTGGCTGTTTCGAGTACATTAATTCTACCGGATAAGTTCTACCAGGAATCGTAAATATCTGACAATGAAAGAAATAATCTGAAAACTTCACTGCATCCAATGTGGCAGAGGTAACAATCAAGCGAAGATCAGGTCGCCTTTCAACAAGTTGCTTCAGCAATCCGAAAAGAACGTCAGTGGAGACTGTTCTTTCATGAGCTTCATCAAGGATGATCACGGAGTACTGAGACAGGTTTATATCACTCAAAAGTTCCCTTAAAAGTATCCCCTCGGTCATGTACTTGATCACAGTATCCGGTCCAGTGCAATCATCAAATCGTACAGAGTACCCAACTTCCTCCCCTAATCGACAACCAAATTCCTCAGCAACTCTCTTGGCCACAGACGTGGCTGCAACTCTTCGCGGTTGAGTGCAACCGATTTTTCCCCTTGTGGTGTAACCTGCTTCAGCAAGATATTGAGTTATCTGCGTAGTTTTACCCGAACCAGTCTCACCAATGACAACAAGAACCCGATTTGCTTTCACAGCCTGAATCAGTTCTTTCTTCAACCTATAAACTGGTAAGCTCTGGCGCTGTTCGCAAAGAGAAAGGCTTGAACTCTGCCCAATATCCAGGGCTCCTTCGTAAGCACGCTTGTTCCGCTCGTGCCTGTCATAACCGGAAAAGCGAGCAGCAGTAGCACCCAGAAGCTCTTGTGCAAAATGCCTCTCACCCCTTCCCGGCATAGGGTCTTCCCAAGCGCGATTCAAATCCTTTGGAGCTGCATTGAGCCTCATGTTCTCTTCCACTCTTGTTATTTCTCTACTCTCCTTTTGCAGCGCTGATCGAAGAGCTGCTGCACGACTCAATGACCCGTTGGGATTCGGCACAATCCTAACCGGTGACATATCAATCGAGTATCCACTCTGCCCTTGCAAAAGTAGTAATTGCTCCTCATCAAACTCGGTCTCATGCTCTTCTTCCCCAAAACCCTCTTCTCGAAATTGCAATTCGTGTCCATCACGCATTGCAGCACCCGAAACGCCGGAAGCAATCAGCTGCTTCATCTCCCATCTCTCCTGCTCATCCTCTTCCTCTTCCGAATACCTCCTTCTACATCGGTACCCGATCCTAACATCGTCATCGTCATCCCTCTGCCTCTTGCTCCTCTGAATCCCTTCAAGTCCTTCCTCAATGGCGGCAGGGTTCTTGTTCTTGTGAGAGTGAGAGGGGTTTCCCTTTGGAGGAAGAATAGCGTGGATGATCTTCAACAAGGAACGGCTGAGATATTCCGGCATGTCCGCACCCTTTTCTTTTAAGGTTGCCTGGAAGTCGTCGACAACGTCGGAGTTGCGACCTGTCTCGGCTATGAACTCGGCCAAGACTCTGTCGGATATGCCGAGGTTAGCTTCGAGTTCAGAACAAATGTTGGAGACCAGCGAAAGGTATTGGAGCTTGTTGAACGCTGACCCTTCTTCCATGGAAACAGGCATAAGAGGTCGGTTGACCTGGAGCGCCCACCTTTTATTCTTCCCCTATCAAACTCAAATCAAACACGAACATCCAACGTAATTACATAAAATTGTGTATTTTTTCTCAAAAAAATAAAAAACAAAACTGTGTTATAAAAAAAAATAAAAAAGAAAACTGTGTTATAAAAAATAAAAATAAATAATAAAAAAAAAATTGATGTGCTTGTCGATTCTCATTTTATGTTATTTTTTTTACTTTTTGTCAAATGATATTTCATTATTAGAGTAAACTCCCCATAGATCCCTTGAAGTAAATTAGCTTTTGATTTCCCTTTTAAATTTTTTAATTGGATAATTAAGGACTCAAACTAATTTCTTTTAACCGATTTTCCCTACTGTAAATTTTTTATTCATTCCATCCAAATTTCTGTTAAATAGAAGCATGTGCACATATGAGGGTAGTTCAATCGTTTTGTTCTTGAAAATAATTAAAAACTCTAGATTTCTAAAATGTCGAACTATGCAAAATCTATGTTATTTTATAGCTTTTATATTTGAAGGTCTAGCCAGGTGACCATTTTTTCCTCAAAAGAGTCATTTAACATTAATTTAGATAAAATCTATGAAAAACTAATGGTACGGAAAAATCGACCAAAAAAATAGTTTGTCCTTGATTTTGCAATTAAAAAGTTTTGAGGGGAAATAAGCAGTTTACCCTCATTATTAAGATGTGGGAGATAAGGAGGATGTGTGACACGCCCTAACCCCGATATTCCCCAAATACCAAGATAGGCACGTGCTGGCCGACACCCGAGGGTGACGAAAGCCATTTATTGAGTGCAAATGCTGAAAACAAGGGATAAATAAGGCTTATAAATATAAAAGAATAATGAATATGCAAATAAGGACTGTGTTCAGAGAACACCACTAATCTAGAACACTAAAAGGAAATAATATAACATTGAATGAGACAAAAGAGTGGGTCCTACACCACGAGGACTCGAAGATGCCGAAGCGGAAGTGCGTGGACGTCGGGATTGTATGCCTCGATTCTAAGTCCTGAAGGGGGCGCAAAACAAACATGAGTGGACCAAGTTAATATATATATAATAAAACAGTTATCAACATACTAACCCCCAGGTTTTATGAAAACACATATATAATTATAAACATAGGTTTTCCGAAACCTAGCATGTCGTGCAATATCTCAAATCATAATTCGCATAAATAATAAACACTAGCGAATGTCCGATAACTCTTCAGGCCCCATGCCAGCTTCCCGTCTCTGAACCGACAGTCAGAGGAAAATACACTTTAGGCCCCATGCCGGCTCCTCGTCTCTGAGCAGACAGTCAGAGGAAAACACACTCCAGGCCCTATGCCAACACCAAACCGTCGCCCGGGACGGACCGGATCTATCCCTACGTCCCGTAGCGGAAAGGACCACTAGGTAAATACAAAACCAGTGAACATACATATATTGAAAATCAACTTCATAGTATAAAGTCATGCATCATTTATACTACAAAGAGGTGTTCTAAACATGTTCTAAATATCATATCGTCATCCATCAGATATTCTATAAGAACATGGGTTATAGGAAAAATAGTAATAATTCAAACTAGCCTCAGTAAGCATGTTATCTCGTAAAACGTTTCATAAAACATAATCATCAAATCATGCTTTTCATGTATGCATTTCTACTATCAAAACATGCATTTTTAGAAGGGGTCCACTCACAATACTTCGCCATCTAAAGGCCACGTCACTAGTAAAGACGGAAACGCCACAAATAATTGCCCCTAAGCACATAAATGGTATATTTAGTCAAACTCTACTCAAACGATGGAATTTGGAAAAATGGACATCGGAAACGGGTTCAGGACGTCGAAATTAGCCTAGGAGGGGTCCCGCACGAAATCCCAAAAAGTCAACAGTCAAAGTCAACGTTGACCGTTGATCGGTCAAAGTCAAAGTCAACGCTGACCGTTGACCGGGTCAACGGTCAGACCGGGTCCAGGTCAACAGGTCAAACGGGTTTGGGCTTGGATCTAGATTGGGTTAAAGGGTTTGGACTTGGGTTGGATCCGGGTTGGGCCTAAAGGGTTTGGGTCTAATGGGTTCATGGTTTGACGTCCAAAACACAACCACGGGGTCAGAACATAACTATAGGGATGAAAAGAAAAGCATTTGGAGTGTTTTGAGGCTTACCCAAAACGGAAGGACGAGGAACTAGTCCGAGTTCCTCTGTGCTCCACAGAGACGAAGAGAGGGAGAGAGCTGACATGGTGAAGATGGTAATGTTGTTGTCGTTGTGGTGTTTGATGATAAGGGAGATGAGGGTTTGTTGGTGTGTGTGTGTGTGTGCGCGTTCTGCTCGGAGGGAGGGAGAGAAAGACAGAGAGAATGGGTGAGGGAGAGAGTAAGAAGAAATAAAAGAAAAGGGAAAGGAACCGGCGGGAACAAAACAGGGGGTGGGCCTTTTGGGCTCACCAATTAAGACTCAAAAACAATTTTAAAAAGGAAAGTATCCCCCAAACTCAGTGAAAAATATAAAAATACCCATTTTTTTCCGTAAATCCCGGGACGGGTTGTTACAATGTGAGAGATGTAGGGTTAAAGACTCGCCCAAATTTTTACTACGAATTCGTTATCCTTGACAGACTTTACCTATGAAATAAAGAAAAACTAACAAAAAATCCAAAAATACTTTAGTTTTAATGAAAAATGACAAATAAAAGTGTAGTGAATAGTACCAGAAAAAGGTAAAAATATGATTTTTCGTTAAAAATAAACAATACCGGAAATACCGGAAGTGTTTCGTTAAAACTCCTACAAAATAATGATAGCAAATGAAGGAACCAAACCAACAGATGATGGTAAGAAAAAAAAAACATATGGGGCAGATGTGATCGATGAAACTATTGTACATGACGAGACAAGAGAGCATCTTTTTGCGTTTAAGTCGTAACAAATACTCATTCAAAAGAAACTAACACAACGGAGCAATACAAATTCAGCACTTCGGATAAATATTAGTCGTATTTACTAATGAATGGTCGGACAGTTATAGATCTACCCAAAAACACTTGAGATATGACAGTAAAAATCAAACCAAAAAGGTACACCAGGGCATTGATAAGACCACCGCTTCGAGTCCGATGAATGCCACAAAAATCGATTGATGCGTCCCAATAATCTCAGGCGCCTAAATGGCTGAACAATGTCAAAAGAACAACAGTTAGAGATCCAAATGTGCTTACACAAAACGCACAAACAATACACAAGAAGGTTTTATAAATTTATTCGAGGAAAGTTATTTCAAAAGAAGTTAGTACCTTTAGCAGAAGGCTCATCCTGTGGTTTCATAGCCGGGAAGAGTAGAACTTCCTGTCCAACCACAAACAATACGCAGTGAGAAACTGCTCACACGTAACAAATACAAGATGAGAGAGAGAGAGAGAGAGACACACACACACACACACACACACAAACCTTAATATTCTGTGAATCAGTTAGCCACATACAGAGCCGGTCAACGCCCAAACCCCAACCACCAGTTGGAGGTAACCCATACTCAAGAGCTCTGCAAAATGTTTCGTCCAGAGCCATTGCTTCATCATCACCTGATTGTCGGTCCTGAACTCAAATCCATATATCATTAGAAAACTTTCCAAACAGTTTTCAGTAAGATACCATAACTAAACAATTAAGTGATACCTTGAGTTGATCAGCAAATCGTTGGCGTTGTACCACAGGATCATTCAATTCTGTGTATGCATTGGCAAGCTGGAAAGCAAATGAAAATCGTTAACAAGTTTAATGACAAAGAAAAAGGTAGTCAATGAAGAAATCATTCAAATCTTCAAGTTGGTAAGCATACTTCATGCTTGTTGACAAACAATTCAAAACGTTCAGTCAGCCCAGGTTTCGATCGATGCCACTTTGCTAAAGGACTCATTATCTCAGGATGGTTAATGATGAACGCGGGATTTACACACGTCTCTTCCAAAAAGTGCCCCACAAGCTGCAAAAATAGAAAATGAACCAAAAAGTAAAAACTGATGATCAAGTCATTTTCCATACCCATCACACATTAAGATTCCAAGCAAATGACTAGGTTTTTTCTTAACTGACAAATGGAAAGAAAATATATAGACATCTATAAGACCTTTTGATAATTCGCCAAGCAATAACTGACAAATGCAAACAAACCCCAGAGCAGGACAGATGCAATGATGCAAAGAGTCATGGGAGTTTTTATGAACAAAAAAATGTCATATCAGAAAATATTATAACTGAAAATTGTCATCAACACCAGAAATTTGAGAAAAGCATAACATTGCATTGATTACAATGCCAGTCCCTGCCATCACATAAAACCAGAGGTAGTATCCTGATTCATGTACTTGATTTTAAAGAATATATGGGAGGAAGAAGAAAATGAGTTACCTTGTCCAACAAACGAGTTGTTGTTTCAGGAGGGGAACATTTGATATCAAATTTCTTGCACGCATCCTTAAGATATTGGTTAGCTTCTGCACTAGAGAGATTCTCTGGATTTATGTTGAGACCTGCAATCTTATTTAATTCCTCAACCATGTCGATCCTTCTGCAGCAGTAACAGTTAAAACCACCAGATAAGTTTTTTAAAACATGTTTAAGCTGTAACATGCATGACCAAAATACAGTTTACAGACCTGAAAGGAGGAGTAAAGTCAATCTCAATTGGATCCTTGTCGAGCCCATTCGAATGATACTTGATTTTATATCCACCAGTTAGTTCCTTGACCATGCCTATTTTAGACTTAATATATTAGCAAACAAATCCAAGTACTCTCAACAAGGAAAGGGATAAGGTAATCTATCTTCAAGACATGCATCATTTAAGCCATACCACTCAACATTTCCTCAGTCAGCGTCATCAAGTCACTGTAGTCTGCATAAGCCATATAGAATTCACAGGTAGTGAACTCAGGATTATGAGTCAAATCAATGCCCTCATTTCTAAATTGTTTTCCAATCTCATAAACACGATCCAGGCCACCAACAACTAGCTGCTTGAGATAGAGTTCAGGTGCAATGCGCATGAAAAGCTTCATGTCAAGTTCATTGTGATAAGTCACAAAAGGACGGGCAGCCGCTCCACCAGCAATCATATTCATCATAGGAGTTTCGACCTGAGGGTGGGAGAATGTAGAAGCAAATGACAGATAGAAAAGACGCCAAAACGTAATAGACTACCAACAAACGAACATGAAGATGCCATGAATACAAAAGGCAACCTGAAGAAAGACGAACCTCTAAGAAGTCCAGATTGTCCAGGAACCTTCTAATATACTGAATGACCTTAAATCTGGTCTTGAATATTTGTCGAACCTCATTAGTCAATATTAGATCCAAATAACGTTGACGATAGCGAGTTTCCTACCAAGAAAGACAATTAACATGTAAAACAATAG